CAGGATGCAGCGCACCCTTCATGCGACTCGCCGAATATCTCACGGCGCTTCGCGCTTGGTGATGTGAGAGCCTGGTCCGGTGAGAACCCGGCGTGCTCCGTCCCGGCTTTGTAGGGATGCGAGGTCAATGGTCTAACGACTACGGCATGCACGAATATGAGTACCCCCGCCCCCCCCACCGTAGTAGTCCCAGACCCGCACATTCTCACACGTCTACTTTCAAGGATAGCAACACCAGTTCGATTTACACACTCCTGCGCCCCATGTGCTATCAGATGCCCCCCTGAGACACAAGAGCCGATTCATACTGCTTTCACTCTCTCCAATGCTGGTACATTCTTTTTCAGGCCGCCATTACCCCTAGTATTCATGTCAACTCGATTTCCCCGAGAAAGATAGACGTGTCGTGTATGCCAGTCATTGTTTGTTGCGCTGACATGATTAAGGCAATCGTTCGGCCGTCCCCGACCAGTAGTCCAAGCACCTGTTCACTCACACATGATTCGTGGGCGTGTCATGTAGTCCACGTGTCTACGATTTATCGAACTCGTATTCAAATCGGTTATTCAGGTAACCTTCAAGCGCATCTCTCCCGCGGCCATCCCGACGCCAACTGCCCCCCTCGACACCGGCCGCTCGGGGAAATCTGCCGCAACGCAAGAATCATCTCTGTCGGTGCACCCAGACGGCATGGAGAGCGGAGAAAGGGCCGCGACAGAGGCGGCACACATGGCGGCAACAGCGCCGGACCAGCCAGATGGGTGGGCCCCCCCAATGGCTGCGGATGCCCTGCTAATGAGGGGGAGACTTGCTCTGCTTGACGGAAAGTTCAGGGTAGGTTGGGTGAAGGTAGCCAGTTTTCATCCCCTCCACGCTGCTGTACGGACCGCATTCTACGCAAGCGTATATCGATGACATGTAAAGTACTACATACCCGTAGTTGGGTTGGCGCCCGCCGTGGCAGGACCTACTGTGTCCCTCAAGCATCAAGGATGGCAAACCGTGAGACAAACATGCGATGTTGGAGTAAAGAATCGGACAAGGTTGTGAACTTCTTACAGATGACGGGCGGATGGCAGTTTGTAAATCGCCACAACAGGGTTCGATTGGGCCATCGTAGTTGTTATCCCGTCACCTCCTGCAATGTTTTCGTTGGTACCAAAGGGGCCGTCATACGCATCCATGTACCATACCCTTCAAGCTCAACGCTCAAGGCTCAAATCTGTCTAACTCTGAGCAGGTGTGCCGGCACCATGCGTCGCGTGGCTTGGCGGTTCTCCTTCGCCACGGCCTTGGTGAGAAAGGTGGGAAGTCTTTCCCTCCACACCGTGCGAATGGTGCAACGGCATCGATGGGCAAGCTCACCACCGGCGCGAGTAGCTTGAGCAGCGGACGACAATACGGCGATAATGACAACACCGACGGCAGTATTCAGCACGCGATGGCCATGAAGAACGCCGGCGGCACTAGCGGGGGCCATTCAAGGGTGATGCTCGACGACGAGCAGAGACAGCCGTGGAGGGTTATCCGGACATGGCTTGAGCTGCGCCATGATCTTGCCGCTGTGGCTCTGTTGCAGGTATTCCTGACCTAGGGAAGCCCAGAACTGACGGCTTAGACTGACGGCTAAGACTGACGGCTTAGACTGACGGCTTAGGCACGGCAAACCGCGAAACAGTATTCCAAACGGTGGAGACGCCCTGTTCGTCTCCGTACTGAAATCCGTGCACTACTCATTCTGGCCATTGGGAGGGATGGTCTTCTTTCATGCCTCACAGGGACGCATGCTTGCACGCTCGGCGCTCCTTCTGTATGCACGTACCCCACAGCCTGGATTATGCAAAAATTTCCACAGTCGTGAAATTAATATGGACGAACAGGGCAAAGAGGGACCAAAGCACAGCGTAGGAGCATGGACAATAGAACACGGAATCTGCACTGATATTCCATCATGCGAATAGACCAGACAAGATTCGATTGAACCTGAAGAATACTCTGGCTCTGTCTTCCGTTAGCATATCTCACCGATCGTTTGATGTCGGGTTTTAGGTTCGCGAACAGAGAACATTCTCACTCTTTTGCATCGTTATGTACCTGGGTCGTAGGGACGCACCACGGATGCCATGCTTCAGATCCGAAGGGGGCTGGACGAAGCACATGCGGTGGGCGAGGGCGTGATATCAAACCGCTTACGCCGACTTGGCGCACAGGTGTGTGCGTGGTCGAGTTTGCGTGCGACTGATGTTTGCACGGTGCGGATACAACACGTGAAAAAGTTGATCGGACGGTACCGTTCATAACTTGAAAGATGATCGGATGCTACCGTTTACAACTTGAAAGGACTGTTCAAGTTACCCCCGAAAGTTCTCGTGGATATATACTTTTCGTGACCACACCGATTCCCAGACTATCCACCGATCTCACTTGTGAAAAACGTGACCAGGCTGCGGTGGCGGAAGGCAACTTGGAACAAGCGGTGTCGGACTGCCAGGCCCTCGCCACCGACTACATCAACGATCCCTCGACGTCCGCGGTCGATCTAGCCGCTGTTTTACGACTCATGGCGAAGGTAAGCCACCTACCGCATTATCCTCATGCCAGATCGAAACTTGGCCTGAGCCTCTGTCTGGCTCACGGGCATGTTGGATAAGTGGGGTGGGTGCTTGGCAGGGTGCCTAAGAGCAAGAGCGGGGGGATTGAATATTGCAAGCACAGTCATGACGCTTTCGGTAGTCAAGAACCCAAAAGCTTGCAGAACTGGGATGTCGAACATCATCTTGTCGCGAAATCACTACCGGAGGCGTTCTCTCTCACTGCCATGGATGCCGTGCTGAACCACGTTGCCTTAGATTCGACATCAGCAGAGCCTCGTGAGCGGGGAGGGCGACCGGAGGCAGGCCCTGCTGCTGGTCTCTGAGGCGCTTGACGCTCTCCGCATCGCGGACCAAGGGCTGCTCTCCGCCGCCAACGGCCTGGGGTGGATAGGGTCGGGCGTACTGACGTATTCACAAAGGGAGGACAACAGCATGGACGCAGGTATCACGCGTTGCAACCCAAGTTGACCACCTCCCGTGTTTGAGACAAAGGCGTACAACAACGACGAGCTGGCCTGCGGGCGAAAGATGCGCGAACCCTTCTGCAGGCGATTGGCCCAGAGAGTGAACGATGACCGCATCAACAAGTGAACAATCAGAAAATAGAATAGAGCAAACCTATTATCTGGTCATGCTTCTACCAGAACTTGCCCTCACAACACTTAGCCTGGGTCATCAACTGCAGCACATGGCCTGTGCAATATCCTACGGCATCTTTCAGTTGCCGTGGTGGGGATAAAGAGCAGCAATGGAGCCGTTTTCCGGGTACACCGGAATGAGATGTAGACAATGATGTCCACCACCAAAGAACAGAACATACCCTCTTCCACTCCGACTAATACCTGACACAATACACCACCATCCTTAGGCACCACGGGGCCCGCCTCCGCGTGTCGCTTTCCGACGAACAAGTGTTTTTTCTATTTCATATTAAACAACGATCGCTCAACTCGACAGACGCCAAACCACACTTGCTGCACGCCCTGGGAACCTCGTTCCGGGATCTGAGTCGCGAGTTGCCGGGAGACGTCGCGTTTGGGCTTGCACCGGCAGACGAAAGTGACGAGACGGCCCAATCCTCTCTGGCAAACCTGTATCTACCAGCACTGCGGCTCCTCCTGACTGTCAGGTGTGGCAGCAGCGGCGGAGTTTCGCACCGTGCACTCACCAAGGCGTTGTATTGCCGCCAATAGTGCACATCGATCAGAACCCGTCCACCCGAGATCAAGGCTGTCAGCCAAGGCATGCCACCATTGTATCGAATGCAGATTTGACACCCACTCTGAAAGCCGTAGACTGCTTCGCCATTCAGTCGCCTTTCGTCGAGTATCCTGGATCGGCCTCGTAGTACTGTAGATGAAAAATGACCTCACAACGCACGACCGCAACATCTGTTCGTGACCTGTGACGTTTGTTGGTTCCCAAACCGCCAAACTGTTCTGACCAGATTGGTGCCCGTACCATGTGAACCCGGTACCATGCCAAATTTCCGAAGCCAATTTTTTCGTACGACGGCCTGACGTTTAGTCCACACGCCGCGCGTAGAGTCACGCACTTACAGAATATGCAGTCATGGATGTACGCGGGTCCAAGGTCATGTCATTCTCGTCGCGTCCGCTAACACAGTGCCACTGAAACAACATTTCCTCGAAGGGTGACGCTACTGGATATAATCGAAGGCGTTGGACCGCACAACGCGGAGCGCGAGGAGCTGGAGCGGCGGCAGTCTTGCGGAAGTGAAGGAGACAACGAAAGATCCTTCCAGCAGCAACATGGGGACGTAGAGGAAAACAACCTCGCGGGCACCGTCGGGACGACTGGGGAAGGATGGTTAGCGGGAGCTTCAAGTTTGGCTGAGGAGACTATGGCGAGTCCTTAAACGCCTTCACGAAATACCTTGCTACCCTCTGCTTACTTGGCGACTCGGTCTCAGCTCCCATGAAAGCAGGTGGCCAAGCTTCTGCCTGGCGTTGTTTTTTCCTGGGAGAAAAATGATTCGAACGGGAACACGTCGAGATGGTCCATCGGCAATATCGTAGCAGTCGTCATTTTCGAAGCCACGGGATTTCACCGTCCATGTTGCTGTCGACCCGAATCTGTCCACGGCGCTACGCCACTCTTTGCACCGCTCTTTATTCTGTTGTTTCGAATTCATGTCGCCCCCGACCCGCCAGCTTTTCATTAACAAACACCTTTACCCTCCCAGCTTTCCTGATCTTTGTCCAACTCTCGATCGCGAAAAGTACCCTGACCCTGTCGCTCTTCTGTTTCAGGCACTTTTGCGGCACATTGCGCACCCGCATCCTGCTCTTCGCGCCCACTTGCTGCTGCTGGTCGGGACGTTCCGCTTGCGCCAGCTAAAGAACATCCAGGGTACGTCCTCGTCAAGTTCGAGGGATCCGATGGGTTCCACCGCTACAACCGCCGTTGATGATGATTCTGCAGGAGTCTATGCACTCACTCACGGGTCACACTTGCCGCGAATGGGCTCCCCTGACACATCGATCCTAGAGGCGGCAACGGCGACAGCGCTGACGGCCGCGTTGCGGGTTTCCTTCTGGCGGGGAGGGCACGACTGGCGCGTCATGAGCGACGCATGCATGAGCCTCGTGGTGCTATACTACATCACTGCAGCAAAGACCTCCAGAAGTATAGAAAACGGGGAACACCTTAGCGACGATGACAAGAACGGTGCTTCACTCCATGCCGCGGGGGCTGATGATGGGCAGGAGGTAAGTGAGAAGATGGATGGTTGCGTAGGTGGACGGTTTGGACACGAACACCTCGTCGATGCCGGCACACCCGCGGAGGTACTTCCTCACTTGACAAGCTAGAGTGGAAAGTCGAGTTCGATTCCAGCGGAACATTTATGAACACGAATCTCTCGTTTTCGGCGACGAATTTAAACCAAGCTCATATCGTCGCTGCAATATTCACAGTTACATCGACACAAGATGGGATTGTTCGTCCACTACCTGAGGCTTGCAGCCTCGATCTCGTTGGGCCACAGGCGTCTAAGTATCGAGCTTGACAGCATCGCAAGCGACCCCCTCCCTGCTGCGGTGATCGACAATATGCCAAGGTGAATGGAAATATTTCATGTCTACATATCGAGGCACAAGACAGGAGTATATGCAAAGGGAAGCGTTTTCCGACAATCGGCCATCGGTAGGCACGGGGCTTGACGTGTCCACACACAAACGTACGGGGCACATTTCACGCACCAATCCGATAGAAACGAACGAACGGTTTCGGTTCAACTACTGTTTCTCACTGTTCTACATAACTTCTGCGTCGAAACGGCTTTTGGGGCAGGGCCGATGCCATGAGACCCAACGGTCGCGGCAGCCCTACGAGTGGTTGGATTGGTGGGTTCCTCGCGCTGAACAACGATTTTCGTAGACCATCTCAGGACACGTTTAACTCGAAAGAATTCCAACTGATCGCTTCTTGTTCCTCGAACCGAGTTCGCTATGGAACTTGCCGTCTCTTGAACATAGTACCGAGATTCGTCCTACCTTGTCCTGAAATCTACTGTGAAGCGCGGTTTGAATATGGTAGTGGAAACCCCGCGCGTCTCTGCCTTTCACTTTCGCTCGCTGTCGTATTGAATAAAAGGTCGGCACTAGATGAACTCGCGGGTAGAGGAGGGAGAGGACCAGAGGACGACCCCCTTCGCCTGAGCACACGTGGTCTGCTGCAGTTCCTGCGTGCTCGGGTACACGAGAAAAGCCTGGCGGCTGCTCCGGTCGACCTGCTACCAGCCTCTGTGGTCTGCCAGGTACGCGTTCCGTGGGAGGTTTGCAAAAGTTTCTGTTCTAGCATTGAAACAAGGTTCTCTGCTTAAATAGGAGGAAGTCTCGATAAGGATATCAGATGAAATTCGGTGAGCTAAGCACCACCCGTAAACTGAATCGCAATTCTATAGCAAAAATGTATCGCCTTTGGCTTCGTTCGTATATCCTGGCAGTGTTCTGAAATGTGTGAAGCAAGCATTGACTCAGCCTAGGAAGCAAGCTATCTGTGCAATGCGCCTTCTCGGATCCTTTCGGCGGGTCAACAAAATGATACCTCGGTGTTCCCTTACATGCTTTCCTGTTTTAGCATCTCACCCATGGAATAGTGTGATGCGACTCCGACCCGAGACAATTGAGAAGAGGGTAAACCGCCAATTTTCTCGGGATGCCGTGTGTGCCATGATTAAGTCATGAAATGGCTCACACACTTCCTTTCAAGCCCGTCAAATGTTGAGGTGTACCAAGTTGTCGCGCATGTCTAAATGTATTCTACAAGAAGAACCAACTCACGATGTTTTCCTGCACACTGGGTTGTCGACTTGGCGGAGGCTCAACGCAGACTGCGGTATGTCGCAATGCGTTATGATCGATGTTGCAAGGTCACACGTTTCGAAACACCTGCTTTGACTAAGGCGTATTTCCCCTTCGACATGCCCATACCTGGGAAACAAACGCACCCCTTGGTTCTTGCCGGCATCTCTACTTGGACAGATCCACGCCCTCCTGTACCGTCACGTACCCTTGTACCGGAAGAAATGCTGCATCCAAGCATCCTCGCTTGACCCACCATCGGCGCCAGAGGTACGGGTTTCGAGCTCGGTACAGTCAGAAACATTCCCCTACGAATCTTCACCCCTGCTCTTGTGTATGATTTCAGCAGACATGTGCATGCTTCATGCCATCCCTTGATATTCGAACCAAACATTGTGAAGTCGGTACAAGCGTGTTTCCACCGGCATCATTGGCCTCATGGTGCAAATGTTTGTAAAGCTTGGCCACTTAGATGGGGAAAACCCAACGTAAACCACGAAAAATTTCCCCGCCGCTTATTAGGCAATCGGTCGGCTTTTGTGTGCCCGGTCGGCCGGTCCCAAGCAGACTGTGGGAGAAGCTAGCAGCTCGGCGGACGTGGCCTCCGTTCTTTCTCCCGCGGTGATTTGCGTGCAGTGGATTTGGGGTGATTTCCACGGTATCGGTGCTCGCGGCAGCAGTACCGCCGGCAGTACTTTAGTTGGTGCCGACGACGACGGAGATCAAACGGTTACGGGGCTGTACCCAGCCCGGACTGCGTTCATCCTTCTGGGCCCCGGTCAGCCTAATGCTGCAGACGAGAAGACGGGGCAAAAAGGACCATTGAGTGGCAGCGAGTTTGGCCCGTCAATATTGGTGGCTCGCGTACTCTCTTCGAGTGCGGACGGGCTACGGCGCCGTGCCTCTCAGCTCAAGGTACTGAACATGGGCTTCATTGATTTGCTGCAGAGGAGCACCCTAGATGTAGGGTAATCCGAGTTGCCAATATACCCGGTACGACTGACGGCATGAAAATAGTTACAGTATTTAATTGGCGAGTCTGAACATGGCGTTCGAAACAGAACGGCGTCCGGTGATGATGAGGATACCACGAACTGGACATTCCCACACATTCTTCCAAGCTTGATTCATCGTTCGGGAGCACCTTTGAGAGGATCATGCCGGTACGGTAGGAAGTATCCATAGCGTCGGTTGAGTAGGGTCGATACCCTCTGTATTTCCGGCCAAATTGAATTTCACGGATACAGACGTTACTTGTACGGTACTCTGAGTAGTGCCCATACGCCTTTGAACTATGCCGAGGTGTTGGCCTGGCACATGCCGGCATCACAAAAGATCTTCAACTACTTGAAGCAACTCATCGAAGGATCCCTATATATGCTCATTGGCCTTAACTAAGTGGGTTCGAACAGTCTGACCAACACACCCGCCACCGCCACCTGGTGCATCAACCCCAATCGACTCCTTTCCATCCAGGCTCTATTGTCCGCGATCGAGAAAAAGAGAAGCGCCGACGCCACGGCCGCTGCTGTAGAGTCGGGCGGTCCCCCATTGGCACTCAAGGATCGTTTCAACCTTCTTCTTCAAGACGCCGCCCAGGCCCTCCGTTCTGGACTTGTCGCACCACCTCTGACGGGACCAGAAGCAGAAAAAGGAACTGTGGAAAGTGGGTTGGCGCCGACTAAAAGCAAGGAGCCAGCAGCAGCTGCGGAAGCACCGGGCTCAAGCTCGGACCAAGAAGCAGTGATGGCTCTAACCGTGGATAATGTCGGAGCCGTGGAAGGTGTTTTCAACACCGACATCGGAGTGGACGTCGAAAACGAGCAGCTTTGCCGCTTTTTGCGCGCCGCCACAACAACGACGACCAAGATTAGTGCTTCACCCTAAATGTTACCCTATCCAAAGGGAAGGGGGCAAGATGAGAAGAAATGCATCCGCGTATGCAAATATTGACCTATGTGTGGCCTTGGGAAATTGTAGAAGGGTGTGTTCCACGAGGCGTTCCGCGCGTTACAATGATAACGCCCATGGATTTGCACTCTCCAACGCGCCACGACTTTGAGAAAAAACAGCCGAACAGGTGCAGGCATCCGGCATCGTCAAGGTTCATCACCTCGTTTCGATACCTGTTTTCTGAATATGTTACATGAACGCTTCGCCTGTATACCAAACGAACTGCCACAGTTGTGTCCGGCGTTATTGGAGTAGAAAAATCGCTCCGGTTTGATGTTCCTGCGGCATGGTCGATGGAGTGCTTGGCTTGCAGCCTGTTCTTGGCTCTGGTCAACGCCCGAAAGGCCTAGACCACTCAGAGCTGAGAAGATATGGATGAAGATATATTGGGCAACGCACTTTGCCTCAACCAAGCGTTTCATCATTCTGATGCGGGCCGGCGCATGACGATGGTGTCATGAGAACGATACGCAAGGCTGGACAGCGATCCATGTGTGCAGAGGTTGCTGAGAAGATAGATTTTGTTGATAAATCCCTCGCAGCCGTCACTTTCGGGTGACGGGCCTCTTGGTGGCAGTGGATCGCTCCGCCCTATTGGAAGCTCGCCCCCACCCCCCAAAAAATGAACGTTTGCTTCCACGAAGCACTCGTCTTTCCGCCGGCTCACGTACGTCGTATCAAGAGGCGTTGATCTACAGTACGCGTGCGCGACATTTCTGCCGTAGGCAAAACAACCTTGACACCAGGTCAGATCTTGTTTCCGTCATGGTACGCTGTTTCTCATGGAAGTCGGGAGATGATGAGTGGGATTGGGGCTTCCCAGGCATTCAATACGACAACGCCATCAAGAGCACCTGTTTTCAGGCGATTGTCGAACATCCCCACTACTGACAGGTTTGCTAAACCGCCCATGGGACACCCATGGACCGCCCATCAAGTGCCCATCAAGTGCCCACCGTGGGTACTTCAACCTAGCGCTTCGCCACCGACATATCAACCTAGAACTCAGCCACCTGCACATGAATAGAACCTAGCCACAAGCGCCAATCTAGCTCATATCGTGTGGGCTTGGGGTTTGGGTGAGGGTTAGTGCGAGGGTTATTAGGCGCTATAATGCCCTCTCCAAAGCAGATACTCTGTTGTTAAGGAGTACACTGGTTCCGGTTGAAGGGCTCTCATTGGCCGCCCATGGGCTTCCCATGGGTTGCCAATGGCATGCTCATGGGGATGCCCACGGGTCAACCATGGATCAACCATGGGCAAAACGTGCCCATGGGCGGCCCATGGGCGTTTGAGCAAAACCCGTAGAAAGTGTGGGAGACCCTACTTCCCAGAGTGAGCAGAGTTTTTCGTCAGCGGTCATTCACGTTGTCGCGATCCGAAGTCGTATCGGTAAGCGAACTTCACATGCATCAAGATCTTCCCTCGATTCTCGACGCTCATCCGAGAGGATGAGCAGTTCACAGCGAGAGAGGGCGAGAAAGAACGTAAAGGAGAACCTTGGAAAGCGTCATGGTTTTCACAGGTGAGGGAAACTATGTACATTGGATACATTATCACTGCTGCTACACCTGTGCCGTTGATCGGAGCGAGAACTCCTGGTCTCACAACCAAATCATCGACGGAAAAGATCTCGAACCCTCTATCTTCGGACTAACTATCCCGTCCCCTGTCTTCGACCCACAATCCCCCGCTTTGGTCCCACGAGCACGGAGTACGTGTGGCCAATCAAGTCCGAGTAGAGAACGCTGCCGGCTCCTGAGGAATCCATGTCGTCGGTGGCTCGATGCCACAGCGGTACCGCGATCCGTTTTTGTCTATGGGACAGACGGAAACACATGGGGTTTGGTCGCTTGACGCGTGCTCGGGAGGACCTAGCATGTAGTGCAAGTAACCACTGGAGTGTCGGCGCGTCTTGTAACCTAGATGGTGCCCGCGCTGGTAGTATACTGTAGACGGTGAACCGAATCGAAGACGAAAAGATACAGACGAAAAAACGCGTATTCTGTTCGTCCTGCCGCAATCGCATCACTCGTCATGCCCTTGACCGTTCATCAACCAACTCAAACTGTGAGAACCTACTAGCACACCTACCAGGACACATGGTGCCTACAGGAGAAGGCTTTTCAATACCCCGCTTTAGTCCTCCCCGCTCATGCCATGATGTACGGACAGTAGAGCCATGACACGGTGTTCAGATAGTTGCGAGCATGAAATTCGTTTCTTACATATTCAGTTTCCAAACGCTGAAGCTGCGACATGTCCGAGGGGGCTTCAAACAAAACAGGTTTTTCTCTCGGTTTCTCACCTGCCGGTAATTGCGTTAACCTGGCTTGCTCGCAACGCCTCGATGATTCGACCCGCCACAAAAGACTTGTGTTGTCCGTTCGCCTGTCAAAAATAGTCCCAAGTTGTCGGGTACAAACGGGTACCGCACCATGGCAGTTATGTTTAGGTGCATTGAAAACACGAAGAAGCAACGAGTTGCAGTACTACTCCACGATTCTTTATAGATTCACTTGGGCTCCAACGCAACTGCCACACGAGTTCAATATTCCAAACCAGAGAAGAATCAACACGTCGTACAACCAGCAATAGACGATAGAATATGTACATGTGTCGCGGGAACAATACTAAGTAAGGAGAATATTTTATTGCCACTTAAGCGCAGCATTGTTCGATAGCATTCCATGCCTGACGATTTCAGGTACCCTAAAAACATCACCATGATGAGTATTCATAAAAATGGTTTTACATTGACGCTCGAAATAAAAAACGGCTAAAATGCGTGCCATAGAAAACAAAAACGACCATCATAGTGGACCCCTGTTTCACTGGAAACGACCGCCAACGGATTAGATAGCAGCGAGACAACCAATTGCTTACATGACCGAAGCCTTCGGGAATGGGAATCAACGCCGGAACTGCGGTTGTGTCATGTTCCACACCCCGGCGAAGGGGGTGTCCTGCAAGACTAAACGTTCGGAGTCGTTCCGATTGAATCAGGGACCTGTTACAATACGTCAAAGCGTGCAATTTTCGTTTGAGTTTCCACTTGTTGGCCACCCACAAGGACAACAACAGCGCAAGGCGTCCGTAGGCAAGAGTTCATCAGAGGCACTAAACACCGGGTGACTCACGCCCGACAATGGATTATTCATCTTCATGAGATTGGGCGGGAGCGAGAAGGTGACTAGGCACGACAACTACGACAAATGAATACAAAGCAGTGCGATAATTCTCAAAATGTGAAAGAGTAGGTTTGGTGGGGGCCTGTTGGACCTCGTTCAAAAACTGTACGCTAAAACGATTGCTGGGGTCGCAACGGATTTTTCCGTACTTTTTTTACTAATACAGACACGACAGGTCTGGTGAATCAACCTCTGTCCTATCCAATCTTGTCCGATCATTGGCAAGTGAGTGCTGTACTGCGTGCGGCTTTCATGTGCTTGGATGCCATTTTTAGGTCCTGCCCTTCGATAACCTGCATGGATCCCACCAAAGCAACTTGGCCCGACGTTATTTCACAGTCAACTACTTTTCCATGGTAAGTGGATAGCGCAGGCCAGGCAACAGCATGCTCGAATACAATGACGTAGATCTCGTGAAGGCAGCGGGTTATCTAGGAATATGTCGAGTCACACGAATCATTCGCTCTGTGGGAATATGTCTTGAGCAAACGAAGGGAAGCCGGGGTGCATGCAGTTCCTGTCTTCTGCGTTGAGGACGCGTTCAGCACACACAAGAGGATTCACACACAGCGATCAGTCAGACAATTCGTTGCTGCCACGCCGTGGAAATGCATCGCACCTTCGCGCTTGTTCGGTAGCCGCTCTCGCGGTTCCTCGTCCTTCCCCAAGGGCGACTCGCCCGGCATTCGATGAAGGATTGGCTGGTTTGAGCTGCTCAGCTCGTCTCTCGGTGTCCGGGGCGACGCGTGCCGGGAGCGGCCTGGCCACAGCTACACTGTACGGAGACATCTAGTTACAGCCCCCGGGAGGTGTTGAAGAAAACGTGAAAAACGATAGGGTGGGGTGTGAAAGTTGGAATTACGTGTGGATGGGCTGTAGTAATGTGGATGGGCTGTAATTTTTTGGAGCAAAAGGCGCGAAGACGGACACATATCATTTAAAGAATCGCGATAAGTGGCACTAGGTGAACGACAGAAGGTAACCCTGCGGTGCGTACCGAAACGGCCTGTCGATTCACCTGTTCGCCCGTATCGTCGCCAACCTCGTGTTTCGATCCTGCCCTCTTCTTCGTCGCCACTATAGCAGACTTTCTGCTGCTTGCTTTCACAACGCCACCGTCTCCGTTCGGACGCTCGCTGGCGGTACCATTGCCAGCGCCACCACCACCACCAGCCTACGAAACCGATGAAGAGATGCAACGTGGTCATCGGGTGGAGGGCTTCTCAAACTTGATTTGGCTGGACGGATTGAGTTCTCAAGTTGTTTGGCAATGCCCCAAGGTTCGGTTAGGATGCGTTGATATTACACACATCGTACCGGGAATGTGTGATAACGGCGCTAGGGAAAAAAGCGTCAAGCGTGAGACGTGAGTGCTCAAACCGCATGTAGCAAGCGGGCGCACCCGACACCCAAGCCATTCCGACCTGGAGGAACCGTTTAGACTCTTAGAGAAGCAGCCTGTTGAAATCACCCTTGCACTGCTCATAGTCGGGTCAACCTTGAAGAAAGAAACCAAACTATCGAGATCACACGCAATAGACGGAATCCAGAGCTCCAGACAGAGGGAGGTCATGTGCACAAGACGGAAACCCAATAACCAAACAGAATGTCCATGTAAATGCTGGCGCCACCCTCGGCCTTACGTTCTTCATTGTTAGTGGCCTCTCCCATGGTGGCGTGGCGCCCTGTCACGAGGTGAGGGTTTTCGAGCTGATACGACCATACCTTCATATTGGCGGCAGCGGCGCCGATTGTCGATGCCAACCCCGCTCGCTGCGCTGCATCTGCCGCGTACTTGACGTAGTGGGCATACTCCATGTTTCCGACCAGTCCATAGCGCATTAAGGTGCGCATGATGCGGTCGGCGCCTAACATCTGAGAGACGTGAGTTAGTTGTGGTTTGTGATCGGTTGGGACACACGGTTATTCTCTGGATGGCCGATGTCAAGAACGAAGATCGCCCATCCATCCGCAACGGGGTTCATTTGGGTGTTTCGAACTCCGTCCACGGTCCAATGTCAATTGCGGGGGCCGAAAAAAGCGACCAACAGGATACAATGCTTCGGCTAGAACAAGATCAAGTATATAATCAAGAACAAGAAGAACAAGATGAAGACGGATTAGGATTGAGGCTGACCAGAGTAAAGGGCACAACACTGGCCCCCATCGGCCCCCATCCTATGTCCTCGTCTTGTTCGAGGCTCGCGGCCGCTTTCCTCAGGCCGTTTGGTGTTGGGCGCGTAACAGAGCTGGGCAACTTGTGCTTAGTACCCTACGATTGAGTAATATTTTAGGCCCAAGTCCCACACTGCCATGTTCTTGGATGAGAGCCGTAGTATTCACAGCATGGCATTCGCTTGAAACGAAAAAGGGAGAATAACTTCGAAGTCCGCCGGAATTTCCTGCACGTCGTTCTGGACGAGTTACCGAGATATCCTCGGGCGCATGAAATCTAGGACTTTATGTTGGACGTGGAAGACATCGTGTTCATGCTCTCCATAACAAAAAATATCGTTTGCCTCCCTCGTCGCGTGTTACCTGGTCTTTCATGTTTTTGATGGCGTGCGCGTGCTGTTCTCCGGGGGCAAGGTGCAGCGCCTCTATCTCCCGGAGCTGTTCCTTCAGCAGCTCGGATCGATAAACCTGCAGGTGTTGTCAAAACGAGAAATCGCCAGGTAGACAGCTACGCCGGTGGGTATAGCATTTAATCAAGGAGCAGACACCACGTGGTACCAGGAAATAAAATCCAGAACCCAAGCTAATGCTTTCGCCGATCTGTTGAGACACGAGGATTCACGAGGTACGCCCCTGCACAGTTGCACCGCATCGTGCGCAAGAATCCACGACCTCGTCAGAACCTGCAACCCCTTCCTGAGAACATGGGTTTTCCGAGATCATATTTTGGTGGAGCTTGAAAGTCCCCCCACGAAACCCAAAGGAGTATCAAGCAACAAGGCCGGCCACACTTCGTTTTCCGAATCCCACGTGCTTTCATAGGAGCCTGTTATTTTCGAAGTATCGTGGCAGATATACATATCGTTAAGAACAGGTCGAAGCTGTCGCTGTTAAGTTGTAACCAATGGTGGGAAGAATGGATCGGCTTCATGCCGCAAGCACGAAAACGCTAACGCCATGCTAGGGGGTGATAAGGACAGGCGTGCAATTGCAACGTCGTGCAATTGCAACGGCACACAAGTACAACGCCGTCGCCTTTACAATAACCTTAAGGCTTTGAAATATGCAGCTCCGGGGTCCCTCATGAACAGGAGGCACACCAGAACCGCAAAAAGGCTCGGACCTTGAGGATGTTCACGGAATGCCAGAGCACAGGACACCCATGCTAATCATTTAAACATGCTATTTTCGTCGTCCGGAAAATATTAAAAGAGAGACGATGCATCGTGCTCGGACAAACGAAGATTCAATACGCTCCACACTGTGAGAACATCGTGTGCAGCTTGTTGATCAAACGAAGCTTATCGCCGTTGCGGAAGATGTCTGACCTCCAGGAGGTGGTTCGCGCGCTGTCTGCGCTGTTCTCTCGCTTTCGTGTGTTGCCTGACCCAAACGCCCTGGTTCCGCAACTGCCTGTCGGACTTTGCCACTCTTTCCATTGCCTCCCTGCCGGTGATGGCATATCTGTTTGTAGGTGGAGGGTGGGTGAGACGGGGGGGTCACTCTCACGAGGACCACGCTTTATTCGATTTCCTGTTCCATTGCATGGCATTTGTGATTGCGCTTATGTTCGCTAACCGTAATACCGTATGCTGCATGCCATGTAATTCAAGGAAGACGTGCAAATCGAACAACTGAATACATTCTGGTGCGACGGGACTTTAAAACAATCTGTTTCGCATACCCTAACGCCTGGATTGTGGTTCCTGGTACGCCAGTAGTACCTTCGACAAATCATCGGCGTCTCTCTTGCCCAAAAGGCTCCAACCCTCTACAATCCCTGTATTCTGGTGGAGCTTTACACGGCAAAAGACCAGATAGATACATGCCAGGGTGTGTCTACCATCGTCGGCCAGCGACGTATCTCTCACCTGTCGAGGGTGGTGTTGGGCCTTCGCCAGTCGGCCACGGAGTGGACGTTGGTGCCCCGATAACCCTTCGGGTGAGGCTCGTAGTCTCCCCTGGAAATCAGGAAAAGACCATGCCACCGAAGCAAAAGGAAGCCATGTCAACTTTAATGCTCACGTATCAAGTGCGAACAACCGGAATGTGTGACACGTAGCTTGCTGACGTTCCTTGCAGTACTTGCGAATCTCGCCGTTTACAGGTTCTATGTTTTTCTCTAGCTCAATCACTCCGCCTCAATCTCCCTTACCGCAAATGAGCGGCCAGCGAGCCCTTCCGAGTGTGGCTTGTCCGATCGAACACGTACTTCGCTTTTCCGTCTTCGCGCAGACCTCCCAGGTGGGCATAGGCCTTCGGCTGCTGTTGCCGGGCAACCAGTTCCTCTTCGTTGTCAAAAAATTCGCGAAAATCCTGCATAACGAGGGTTGGTGAGGTACGAGTCACCCCGGTGGGGGGGGGGGCTGTACTCATCGTCATGCATGCCGTACTGGCAAGACCAATGACCTCGCACCCCTACAAAGCCGGGACGGAGCACGCCGGGTTCTCACCGGACCAGGCTTTCACATCACCAAGCGCGAAGTGCCGTGAGGTATTCGGAGAGTCGCATGAAGGGTGCGCTGCATTCTACTTGCGGTATTCGGCATCTTGTGCTTACTCCCTCGCGTACGGATGACAGCGTCGAATGACTTGATAGTCTATTTTTTCTGGTGCTTTCACTTCCAGAGACAGGGTAACTGCCTCGAGGGTGCTTGACCAATTTAACACAACGTGATGCGATTATGTCCTTTGCGCGGAGTGAGGGTTTTCGACCCCGCACAACATGATCTACTCGACCACCATTCATGGATACCCCCAAAATAAAACAAGGAAAAGTAAGCGGTAACCTGGTTGCCGAGCTCACGAAGTGATCGGCTTGTTTTACAACATCGCCGCCAAGCGACGAAAACACAACCCCGGGTGTACTCATAGTCGTGCATGCCGTAGTCGTTAGACCATTGACCTCGCATCCCTACAAAGCCGGGACGGAGCACGCCGGGTTCTCACCGGACCAGGTTCTCACATCTCATCAAAATGCTTACTTCCTTGCGAACGGATGACAAAACCGGAGGTAAAAAAATAAAGCGGTAACCTGGTTGCCGAGTTCACGAAGTGAATTGGCTTGTTTTACAACGTC